CTGAATCCTGGTTGCAGATGAATGACTATAGCCAGCTAGCTGAACTGTGTCCGCCTCAATATGATTGTTTTAGTCAACCGAGGGTCAGTGGTCGTGGTGGTGGGCTAGTGAGCGTGTATAGGAAAAATTTTAAATGTCATCAAGTACGCTGTGATGAGTTTAACTCCTTTGAAGTTCTCATTCTTAAAGTTGGAGGGCTGCAACCTATCATATTTGTTATAATTTATCGCCCCCCAAAGCTGCGTGGAGGATTTTTATGAATTTTTAGCTACTCTGGTTTTAAATTATGACAGAATTGTTCTTTGTGGCGATTTTAATATTCATGTTGATGACCCCACCAATGTTAATGCAACTAACTTTTTAAATATGGCCACTTCTTTTAACTTCAAACAACATGTCAAAGGGCAAACACATAACCGTGGTCATACACTGGACTTGGTTTTTACCCTGGGTGTCAGCGTTTCCTCTGTGGAATTGGTGGACATGACCATATCTGACCACAGATGTATTGTTTTTAGCTGCGATTCACCTATTACTCATGCCGCCTCACCAAGCTCCGTGTGTTCTCGCATCTTTAATGAACAAAGTGTTTCAAAGTTTTGCACATTCTTTCAGAGCCAAAGCCAACACCTGTCTGATTCCAACACCAACAATCTGGTCGATCACTTCAATCATATCTGCTTGCTGTCACTAAATATTACTGCTCCTCTAAAGGTTAGGCCTACGTCTAAAGCTAGTAAGCAACCCTGGATAAATGACAGCATTCGCAGCCTCAAAAGGGAATGCAGGAAAGCAGAGCGCAGATGTAAAAAATCCAGTCTCCAAGTCCATTACCTCAGTCTGAAGGATTAATTAATTAACTACAATAACATGGTTAAGGATGCGAGAACACACTATTCTTCTGAACTCATTACTACACATAAACACAATCCCAGGTTTCTGTTTAAGACTGTGGATCAGCTGGTAAACCCAACCCCTCCTTGTGCCTCAGCTGGAAGTAATGATGACTGAATTGTTTTTATCTTACTTTACCAATAAGTGGTGTCAATCAGAGCCTCTATTACCCCCGCGGCCTCTTACTCAGAGGTTCCTCACCAGCAACAAGAGAGTTTTAACCAGTTTTATCCCATCGACTTGTCTGAGCTTTTAAAAACAGTATCACAAATGAGAGTGTCCTCCAGCCCACTTGATGTAATACCTACAAATTTTTTTCTGAAAGTAATAGATTCTGTGGGGCCCCATTTCATCTCTGTTTTCAACAGCTCCCTATCTACTGGTTGTGTCCCTGATTATTTTAAAACGGCTTGCGTGGACCCACTTTTAAAGAAACCTGGTTTAGATCCCTCCCTCCCACATAATTTTAGACCAATTTCAAAACTGCCTTTTATTGCAAAGATTCTAGAAAGAATTGTGTCCAAACAGCTGCTCACTGTACTGGAAAATAACAAATTATTTGAAAAGTTTCAGTCTGGTTTTAGGAAGTACCACAGCACTGAGACTGCCTTGCTTAAAGTCACCAATGACCTTTTTATGTCTGCTGATGAAGGTATGTGCTCAGTCCTGGTACTCCTGGACCTTAGCGCTGCTTTTGACACCATTGATCACAACATCATGTTAGACAGACTGAGGCACTGGGTGGGGATCTCTGGTACTGCCTTAGAATGGTTTTCATCCTACCTGTCAAATAGGAAGTTTTGTGTGTTTGTAAACAACTATGTCTCCTCATTCTGTCCAGTTAAATATGGTTTGCCTCAGGGGTCGGTCTTAGGACCCATTTTGTTTTCCTTGTATCTGCTTCCCCTTGGACATATTATCCATAAACATGGCATTTCTTTTCATATTTATGCTGATGACCAGGGACGTGCACAGGGGGGTTGCTCTGGTTGCCCGGGCAACTGCCCGTTTGCCTTTCCTGACTCAAGTTGCCCTTCCGACTCGCCCTTCCGAGAAAAAAATAAAAAAAAAAATAATCGCGATCGCAAAGCCTCATTCACTTCCATTCGGGCACCGAAAGTGAAAGTCAGTAGGGGAAGGGCAAACTCTGTTTAAGTGGCTGCACTGCTGCAGCGCTGCCTGCACGTCAGTCGATTCTGTTCCCTACCGGAATTCCTGTTTCCTTCCTTTATGCAATCATACTACAACAAATCATGCGTAGTTTTGCCCAGTTACCATACGTGATACGTACCAACAGAAGTGAATACGAGCAAAAGCGCAACTGAATGTACGGGAAGCCAAAAGGTTAAAAAGGATTGTATTTTTTTCCAAAATCTAAGCGTTTTTTTATTTTGTATTTTATTAGAAGCGAGTTTTCCCCATCTGTCAATTCAATCTAGATTATTTATTTTCAAATTCAAAAAAAAAGGGAAAAAAAATAATAATAATGATTAAAAAAAACAATAAACAATAATATAAGGAACTCTTTTTCTCATATGTATTTTGGTGACATTTATATTGTTAATACATTTTGGATACTGTGTTTAGTGCCTTTTTTCAGGTCAGAGCAACTGCCCTTCAAAATTCCTGTGCACGTCCCTGCTGATGACACACAAATATACTTGCCCGTCAGATCCACAGACCCTGGAATGCTGAGTTCACTTAACAACTGCCTTTGTGAAGTTAAAAAATGGATGTCAAATAATTTCCTCCAGCTGAACTCAGACAAAACAGAAATCCTGGTCATCGGGTCTCAGCAGATGGCAAATCAAATACTGCCATCTGCTGGTTCCCTAGTAAATCACATTAAGCCTGTGGCAAAGAACCTTGGTGTTTGGTTTGATAGTCATTTAAATTTCGAGCAGGACACCACAAAGCTTGTTCAATCATGTTTTGATAAAAACAGAAACTAACACACACACACATCAGCATCTTGCAACAGGCTTCCCACTCAAGACACCGCTTTTAAGATGAAGTGTTAATTTTATTTCATAGTATATGCTACCATCCATCTATCGTCAACCGCTTATCCTGCGTACAGGGTCGCGGGGAAGTATATTCTACATGTTTTTATATTTGAATACTTCTAGGATGACATTAGGCTGAAAAACAATGATAGAAAAATGTAAATATGAAAAAGTTATTCATTTAAATTTTTTTGATGAAGTTGAGGAGCCACTAGAGAGGGCTGAAGAGCTACTAGCCTATAACTATAGACTAGTACAGTGCTAAAGTAGCTGGCTGCCTCTGCTTTGCATGCCAGAGGCAGCCAGCTACTTTAGCACAGATTTTTCGCTGTTTGCTTCATAACGTTTAATTTAGTCATTTTACCTATAATCAGGTATACAGCTTCTTCTCAGTTGCTGTAACTTATGTCACCCATATACAATAACGTAACAGCGCAGGAGAACATCACAGTGGAAGACCCATTCACTACACTAAGATTACTTTCTGTGGTGTAACTGTTATAAAGCATGGCAACAATCTCATTTATGATATTCAGTCTAGTTCACTAACCATTTTGGTTATCATCCCATACTTTTAATGTTTACACTGCTAAGCCTCTGATGAAAAATACACATATAGACAAAAGAAAAGCTGGCAGGCGAGCTAACACCAACATATCATGTCGGCTAAAAACAGTTAATGTAATATCATGCAATGGGCATGAAGGAGTTCATCGTCAGCCTTTTAAATACCACTCTTATGTTGTGCTTGATTTTCCCTCAGTTTCCAGCATATTATGTAAAGCTGCCTCCGGTGTGTCTGCCTCTGTTGTGACTCCAGCATGTGCACAAGAACACATTTTTGAAGGTAGCGGTTGCAATCTGAAACTACTCTGCTAGAGGTCGCTGAAAACTACATATAGCCCCTTAAGAAAAGATCTGAATACTACTTCCGCCACTGCTACATACAAAAAACAACGCCCATTCAAAAACTCATCTGTTGGTTGGTTCCCATTGCTGACCCAGCAGATAGCCAATCATAATTTAGGACAGTGGTCGGCAATAGGTGGACCATGGGCAAGAACTGGCCCGTTAGCAATAATATCTGGCCCATAGTCAGATTGCTTTGATAGGAGAAAAATAAAAAATAAATAGATTGATAGCGGCTGGTGCTGAAATAGATCTCAGTCATGACAGCAACCGTTACTCACATAATCACTTCCTCTTAAGTGATTAAGTGATTGTACCTACAAAATAAAATTGCGGCAACGTTTTTGCAGCAATGGTGCATGTTGAGTTTATCGAGAGCTTTTACTTTGAGAAGTTCTGAAGGACGTTTGACACACCTCTGAAAAAGCCATCAGTAAACGTGTGATTCCCCTGGATTTTCTCATGGAACAGAAAATACCATTCCAGTCCATAGGTTTATGAATGCGGATCAAACACCAGGACGCGCGCATGCACTTCAGCAAATGCTGTATTGTGAGCATGTGCAAAAGTGTCCTATAATCAATTTGTTTACAAGGGAGAAAAGGGGATTGATCATACAGCTCTCCTAGTGGGAGTGCTATACTCTACTGACTGAGCTAAATGAGCACACGAGTAGGAAAGGGTGTGAAATAATTTAACTATGTTCTGGCCCATCATGTAACAGCTTGAAAAAATTTTGGCCCGATGCCAGACTTATTCGCAGACCCCTGATTTAGGATAATGGTCACCTTGGTTGGCCAACAGATTCAGGTTAGACACGCCCAGTTGTAAGGGTTTTTTTTTTTATTGAAGTCCTCCCACATGACAAAACAGATATGAAATATTGGTATCAGGATGTTGTCCCTTAAAGTTAAGTGTCTGACAAACAACAACAACAAATCAGTGAAACCATTATTAACTTTTCTATTTGACATACTCAGACATTGATCGAATTTTTGTTTGTTGTGCTTTTAATTGCTTCTGCATCATTATTGGTTTTCCCCTGTGTAAATGGATTATTTAATAATAAAATAATAGATTTTTAGAACCCTGGATAGTAGTATGTAAACATCAGAATTATTCACCTGATGGTTCACCAACACAACTTCTGTCAACTTCTAACACAATCTTTTGATCCTTCTCTCTGTGCAGGTCTTCGTGGTCTGATGCTGGCAGTGATGTTAGCTGCTCTGATGTCATCTCTGACCTCCATCTTTAACAGCAGCTCCACTCTGTTTACACTGGACCTCTACCACAGAGCCAGGCCTAAAGCTTCAGAGAGGGAACTCATGATTGTTGGAAGGTAGTGATGCTAATATGAACCATATCAATCAAAGACTATCCTGCAAAAATTGTGGAAAAGAATATATGGCTGTCAAAAAATGGTCTTTCCAAACTCTCTCTATCTCTTTCTCTGCACTGTGACTCTGTGTGTGTTGGCGTGAGCCTTCTGTCCCTCTGTGGGTGGCTCGCAAATTTTTAGAGCCTGACAGATGTATAATTTTGCAGATATTATTGGCCGATATAAGGTGCATCTGTGTTTATAACTGCCGATTTATGACCATTAAAAAGAAACAGTCGGATCCTTCCCTCATGTCATGAGTGTTCTATAGTTTGCCCACCAGAGGGTGCTCTGCAGATCCTCTGTTCAAAACACTGCAGCACAGAAGAAAACATCAGCCTACCGGAGCTATGGAGAGTAGCTCCTGGTAACTCGCACACTCAGTTGATCATTTGTCATGTCAATTACATGACTTGAATAATAATAAAAACAGCGTTCATCTCAGCTGCATTGTCCACACTATATTTTTGTGGATATGACTTTACACAATACAAACAAAAATACATGTTTGTGGATAGTGAGATATTTGTGAATTTTTCTACAGATTTCCGAGATAGAGATTGGGCAAAATTCCACAAATTTCAGAAAGGGAATTCACAAATGTAACGTGACCCACAAATTGTTAGACAGTGATCCAGAAAAGTGCAAAACCCATTTCACATGTAAAAATCCCACACTATTTTTGTGGATATGATTTTACACAACACAAATGTAACAATACATATTTGTGAATAGTGAAATTTTGAGAACTAGCACACATATCTGTGCCACATCTGTGGGTTAAAAAAAATAGAGTCCAATAAAATCTTACATAGTTAGCAAATCTGTTAACTGAAGCCATAACCTGCTTTATTAGGGCCCGAGCACGAACCGTGCGAGGTTCCTATTGAAACTGAAGGGATTTTTAGGGCCCGAGCATGAACAGTGCGAGGTCCCTATTCAATTCAATTTTATTTATATAGCACCAAATCACAACAACAGTTATCTCACAGCGCTTTTCATAAAAGAGCAGGTCTAGACCATACTCTATGATGTTATTTACAGAAGCCCAACAATTTTCGTGCAGACTGGAGGAGCCAGGGATTGAACCGCCAACCACGTTTCTGAAACTTTCCTCTCTTTTTGAACTTAACCAAAGCTGACATAATAATAACATGGTGTGTATTTTCAGGGTTTTCATCCTGTTCTTGGTATGTGTTAGTCTGTTGTGGATTCCAGTCATCCAAACAGCCAATAGTGGACAGCTGTTTGATTATATCCAGTCAGTGACCAGCTTTCTAGCTCCGCCAATTACTGCTGTATTCCTAATGGCTATCTTCTGGCCACGTGCCAATGAGCAGGTAGGTCTCTCTCGCTCTCTCTCTCACACACACACACACACACACACACACACACACACACACACACATATCTTACATAACAATTTCCCCATCTTAACCTACCCAAGAAAGACCAAAGATCATTCTGTCATTTTGTGAGAGTTCTTGTCACCCACACGCAAGCATAAACATTTTTTACACTCAAGCTTCCTTATTATCAATAAATATGGAAAGGAGCATGTGAGTGTGTCAGTTTGTAGTAATTTACCTTATTGGAGTAGACCAGAGGTCACTAATAGGCGGACCGCGGTCCGGATCCGGACCCAGCCGCCGACCTACAGCACATTTATTATTGAGACTTACTACCTCGTGACGGAGCGTTTCTATTTTAACCCGCGCAGCTTTTCTAGCATTTACTGTACTGGTTTAGAGGACCAGGAAACTCACAGACCAATCGCATGTGCTCCAATCGTCTCATGTGACGCTGCTGAGCCAATCAAATCTGTGCATACCGATGCTTGCGAGTCGAGTCCGCGAGATTCACCAGAGACGTTTTGGAAACACACCTGAATTGAGGAGACGAAAGATAAAAGAGATTTCACATGACTTTTAATCAAGAATGTACAGATTTTTACATGTACATTCCTCCCACGGGCAGTTCAAAACCAGAATATCTCATAGATCTCCAATATGCTAGCTGGAGCTCACGTTTCTCACTGAACAACAGAAAGTAGGAAAGTGGTAGCTCTGTAAGAGGAAATGAAAGAGAAGAGGAGGCATTACAGCTGTTCATTTGTTATGATGTGTTGAGTGTTTATTATAAAATTGGTTAAGACTACACTTCATCACTTCAAGCTACACTTTTTATTCCATTTTTTCTAAAAATTAGGCACTTTAGTTTACTTAAATTTAGAATGTATTATTTGAATAGTTATTATTTATTATCCCTCCAGTTTGATGTGAAAACTGACTGAAATATTATTTGATTTGACAGTCCGTTGTTGACTAAAAACATGTGTTGATACAACTATAGGTTATAGTACTGAATGATAACGCAAGTTTGTCGTTTTGATGTTCCGGACCTTTGCTTCAGGAAATTTTCTCTAACTAGACCTCATTGAAATCTAATTGAATACCCCTGGAGTAGACACTAATTAATTAATTTAGGAAGCTGGACCCTGTAGGTGTAAAAACCAGATTTATTCATGACACAATTACACAACTCCTATTAAAGAGTAGAGTAGAAAGTAGCTTGTCATTTATGGTTCAGTGTTGGAATTAACTACTTTGATAGCACTCCTGCAACACTGGACAGATGTATAGTTTGTCGTTGGCTTCATCATGCTCTCGTAGGGGCGGCTGTGGCTCAGGAGGTAGAGCGGGTTGGCCGTTAATCGGAAGGTCGGCGGTTCAATCCTGGCTCCCCCTGGTTGCATGTCGAAGTGTCCTTGGGCAAGATACTGAACCCCGAATTGCCCCTGGCGGCTATTCCGCCAGTGTATGAGTGAGTGTGAATGTTAGTTTCCGTTTTGAGCACTTAGGCTCAGTGTATGAATGTGTGTGACTGGTGAATGCAGATGTAGTGTAAAAGCGCTTTGAGTGGTCGAAAAGACTAGAAAGGTGCTATACAAGTACGGAGCATTTACATTTATTCCTTACAGTAAACTGTTTCGCTTTGATCATGGACAATCTCTACCCGTAGAAACAGAGGGAGAAAACACAAGCAGCTAGTTACAGTTCCTGCACTCTCCACTTGGTATCTCCATAGCTCCAACATGTATTTACATATTTCAGAAGGCGCACATCAGTTTTGCTGTAAGCCCTTAATGTATAACTATAAATCAAGCTTAACAAAGGTATTAGGATTTTGACACTGGGCACATCTACAAGACGGCAACATTAAAACTAATATTTGTGTGTATGTGTGTGTGTCTCAGGGTGCATTCTGGGGTCTCATGACTGGACTAGTGGTGGGACTAATCCGCATGGTTCTGGAGTTCTCCTATATAGCTCCTTCCTGTGGTCAGCCTGATCATCGGCCTGCTATCCTGGCTAATGTCCACTACCTGTACTTTGCTCTTATCCTGTTGGCTCTCACTTGCCTTATCGTTGTTGGTGTCAGCTTGACCACTACACCAATACCTAAAGAACATGTAAGGAACATGTCATACATTCATATCTTTCTCTTCTCATCTTTAAATTGAGAAACACATGTACAGAAGGACAGAGACATTTACAGTGATATTCTGTCATCTGTATTGCACATGAGCTTAAAGTTAGAATGTAGGACTTTTACATATAAATGATTTACAGCACTGTCATTAGTCCCTGAAAGTATGGAATATTACATTCTTCATAAAGGTGTGCTTGATTTTCAATATGAAAGTTTTTGGAACTTGCGTTTAGTGTCACCTGCTGAGGAGTGCTGAAATTTAGTAACAGGAACTTGCAGTGGAAAAAGGCAAGTCCACATACAAATGTGAACCTGTACTACATGTAAGTGGATTGGAATTTTGGTCTGTCAAGCAAAAACACTTAACACATATGTGCTGGATCTCCTCTTCTCCTGTCCAGCTGTACCGGTTGACTTGGTGGTCCAGATATAGCCAGGAGCCTCGGATCGACCTTACAGGTCCTCGCATGATCTCTGACCCAGTGAACTCTGACTACAGCCCTGACTCTGAACTTTTGCCAGATTCCTGGTGGCGGAGAGCTGCTCTGTGGCTATGTGGTCTGACAGGTCCGAGCTCTGGCTCTGTATCTCCAGTGATTGAAAACAGTGAACTAAACTCTCTACAGGAGGAGCCATTCTGGAGTAGAGTCTGCAGTGTTAACGCCCTGCTACTACTGGCTGTTAATGTGTTTCTCTGGGGATACTTTGCCTAATGTGCAGGTTTCATGAAATCCTGAACCCGGTATTATCAGTAAGATTGTCTTGAAAATTGATGTACTGACATTTGGTCTTACGTTGAAAATGTTTGATAAAATGAAAGGCTTTTATCAGGACAGACTTCTCTAATAATGATCATTGTACACACAAGATTTGTATTCACTATTTAAACATTTTTAAAAAGAAAGCTGAGTGAAACCCACTTAAGTGACTATGATGCAGTTATCCGGACACTCCTACCTATCTGCCTATTAGGGAAAAGGAAAAAATGTAGTCCTTATGATCTTTTATTGCCACTCATAATCCATGTTGTGCTTGTTATATAATGAGTAATGCACCCTTTTTGTGCCTTCTCAAGTGAAGCAGTACACCATATTGAGAAGTAATCCCTCAGTATTTCATGATTATCTTATCATTACTTACTGTTTCTTAAAAGATAGTATGTTCAAGTCTGTTCTCTATTGACTGAACATTATGTAGTTTTTGAGTCAGTAAATCAGGAACTACTTATTAGTGATTTGTCAATCTTCAGGACTTTCCTGGTCATTTTGTTTTGTAATTTTGTGTACCAAATTATGTATTACTCAAATTTCTACCAGATAAATTTGAAATATAACATGGTGTTATTTCAGTTTCCACTGATATTGGAATGAACTTTTTTATGTTGCTTTTATGTTTTATGTAAAGCACTTTGAATGACCTTGTTGTTGAAATGTGCTATACAAATAAACGTGCCTTGCCTTGCTTTGCTTAATAAATATTTGCACCCCAAACAGAAAAGAGCATGCGGTCTGCCATCCTAAAATCCATTCAACATATATGAAGGATAACATGGTTTACATAGCCATAAATCATAAATGAAAAACACCCTATTCACACTGTCAAATATCCTAATATATTCCCTAAATTTGTCATGGGTGATAAATAAGTCCCTGGAGGTGTGAAAGGAGGTGTGAAAATAAGAAGAGGTTCAAGAGTTTTCATTTTTAAATCTATATTGTTTGAATCTATATTGTTGGAGAATATTCATTAATACATTTTAAAACTTGTTTTTTCATATTTCTTATAATTCCCTGATAATGTCTGAATAATTGGTTTGATCAGCAAAGAAGGCACTATCAGTTGACATCAACAGTTGTGAAGAGACAAGCACCTTCATTTTGTGTGATTATAGGAGCAGGGGAGGCCTTTCTCTCCTTTTGAAGTCAGAAAGAGATGAGGGGAATAGAATGAGTGATGACATGAATTGATTTAATATATTCTGCATTCCAAGTGATACATTTAAAAGATTTTTTTTATTTGTGCATGCATTTAAGATTATGTAAGAGAACAAGAGGTAGAGAGACCTGCATGATATGTTTTATTACCTTATCTGCTGAATTGTTTGTGTATTGAAGCAAAGGGGTGTTGCAACTACTGGACAGAAGTACCATCTACCCATAAACAGTGAAGTAATGTAAAAACCAATCAATGTGATGATCAAGTCCTGATAGCCAATGATTGTTTGAGAAAAGGGTCTATTTTCCCCTGTCCCTGTCTATTTCTTTATGTAAGTTCCTGACCCTGGAGCTCTGCGCAAACTTTTTGGGGCTTGTTCAAATTAAATAAGTTTCTCTTAACTAGAGTATTTTTGTCTCATTTTTTGTCCTTGTCCTTTGTCCTTGTTTTTATCCTTTACACTATGCTCCATCGCTCTGTGTACATGTATACATGTATGTATGTATGTGTATGTGTACCTGTATATCACATCCACCTCTGACATGTACATAATATTTAGACATTCAGCACACTTTGACTTAATGACACTGAGTGAATGAATGCCATGTTGTTAATTGTATAAAAAACAGCCATAATATAAACTGAGAAATGCAGGTGATAAAAAATCTAAAAACTAATCTAGGGCACTATACAGGGCTGAGGCTAAATGTTAAAAATTCACCTACTCAATGAAGTGTCAAAACATGTTTTTTCAGCATTGTTGTTTTAAAGGGTTACACGATTTATGCCTTCAGGCTGCCTCAGATTCTTCTCTTATAAACTGAAGAAATCAAAGTCAACAACAAAGGCAACAGAACAAAGGTTGATGCTTTCTTGCCTTTATTTTATATAGTGCATATAGATTAAATGCCATCTTAACCACACTACTCAAAGTGATTTATTTGCTCTGGCACATTCTCATTAGTAATACACATCAATATGACTGACTTTATTAGAAACTGCCTGGCACAAACAACTGGTTATACCTGTCATTAATTGAAACATCAATATCAAGGGCTGAGTTAAGTGTCACTTCAAACACTGTGTGAAGACCAAAACTCAGATACTCAAAGTGGTTGACAGGTCATCTTATAAACCTTGTATCACTTGTATGTGCAGTATTTACCACACACCAAAATTCACTAGCTGTAAACAACAGGAGATGAACCGCTCTAAGCTGGTTTAAGTCCTATTTATCAGATTGATTTCAGTTTGTACATGTTAACAATGAGTCCTCCGTGCATGCCAAAGTTAGTCATGGAGTTCTGCAAGGGTCTGCGCTCGGACCAATCCTTCTAATCAGTTAGCTAAACTTCAAATGTGCCTTCAGGATGTTAAAACCTGGATGAAAAACTGTAGTAGAAAACTGTTATTGTTCTGGGGTCTAATCACCTCCGTCACACATTATCTAAAGATATAGTTTCCCTTGATGGCATCACCCTGGCCTCCAGCACCACTGTGAGGAATCTTGGAGTTATCTTTGATCAGGACATGTCGTTTAAGTCTCACATTAAGCAAATTTCAAGGACCGCCTTTTTTCACCTACGTAAAATTGCGAAAATCAGGAACAATCTGTGTAAAAAATGATGCAGAAAAACTAGCCCATGCATTTGTTACTTCTAGGCTGGATTACTGCAATTCCTTATAATCAGGCTGCTCGAAAAAGTCCATTAAGACTCTTCAGCTGATCCAGAATGCTGCAGCTCGTGTTCTGATGGGAACCAGGAAAAGAGATCACATTTCTCCTGTTTTAGCTTTTCTGCATTGGCTTCTAGTAAAATCCAGAATAGAATTTAGAATCATTCTTCTTACCTACAAAGCTCTTAATGGTCAGGCACCATCTTATCTTAAATAAATAGTACCTTACTACCCCACCAGAGCACTGTGCTCCCAGAATGCAGGGTTACTTGTGGTTCCTAGAGTCTCCAAAAGTAGACTTGGAGCCAGAGCATTCAGCTATCAATCTCCTCTCCTGTGGAACCAGGTTCCAGTTTGGGTTCAGGAGGCAGACACCATCTCCACATTTAAGAGTAGGCTTAAGACTTTCCTCTTTGATAAAGCTTATAGTTAGGGCTGGCTCAGGTGAGTCCTGAACCATCCCTTAGTTATGCTGCTATAGGCCTAGACTGCCGGGGGATTTCCCATGATGCACTGAGCTCCTCTCTCCTCTACTTTCTCTCCCTCTGTATGCAACCTCATCCCATTATTGCATGTTACTAACACAACTTCTCCCCTTTCTGGTAGTCTTGTGCTTTCTCGTCCGTCTCCTCTCTCCTCCTATCACTTCCTGCAGGTGTTTCTGGCTCTGGAGCTGTGGAGTCTGGATCTGTGGCTGCCCCCCTCACCTGCTGCCCCCGTGTTCCTGCTCGGCACCCTCCGCTGCAACGACTATTGTTGCTAGTCCTATTATTATTATTGTTATTATAATCATTAACATTAAGATTGTTATCATTAACACTACTATAAATATCTGTACCATTTTTCATTTAGTCTATAGCAACATCACCTTTACTGTCTGTACCTCTGTGTGTATACTGTGTAGGCTGATTCCCTCCCCGCTCTCTCCTTCCATCCCTCTCTTTTTCTCTCTGTTCCTCTCTTGCCCTCTCTCTCTCTCTCTCCCTCTTTCTCTCTCTCTCTTTCTCTCTGTCTCTCTCTCTCCCTCTCCCCCAACCGGTCGAGGCAGATGGCCGCCCACCCTGAGCCATGGTTCCCCTTTGAGGGAACTCGAACTGCGTCGGTGATGACACACGCCTCTCGGCGTGGCAGGGCTGAACTATGAATGAAACTACTCCAATCCTATTGGTGTGTGACAGCGTAACCGGAGGGGTATATAGGCACGCCGGCACATAGGACACAATAGCTTCTTTCTATTCAGCAGGCACTCTGAGTATGTTTGGAAGCTCCACTATTGCAAGAGAGTTCATCATCTTACCTGAAGTCAAGCGAAGCAGCAGAGATCATGTTGAAGCAATTCCGACAGTGTGTCTTTCCCTGTCAGCGCTTCATCACGGAAGGTGATACCCATGGAATGTGCGTCTCATGCCTGGGGATGTCGCACGCCCAGGGAGCTCTCGAGGGGGCCCTGACCCTGACGGTGCTGAGGTCTCGAGTGGCTCTCTTCCTAGAGGATGGTCGGATGCGCTCCCCCCGTGGCTCAGGCCCCGCGGTCGCTGAGGCGTTGCGGCGATCACAACGTGAGATTGCTGAGGGTGCTGGGACGGCTGAGGCCTTTTTCCAGTCCTCGTCCGCGGAATCCCCCTCCCCTCGTCCCCGATCGGGAGCCCGTTTCTCGGCTTCACCCACTCAAGGTTTGAGTCCGGAGAGGCTTGCACGATCTGGCTCTGAGGAGCTAGATGTGCTTAGCATGGAGAATGACTCAGGGAGATGGAACGTCATCAGCCCTCGCCAGGATACGAGAAGTTGTTGGAAGTGGTGACGCGGGTTGTGGCCAAGCTGCATATTGAACATTCGGCTGGCAGCAAACTAGACGAGCAGTTTCTGCAACACCGAGCGTCACCCCCGCGTCGGCCCTTAATATTTTTTCCGGATCTACACGAGTTGTGTAGATCTTGGAACAAACCCTTCTCTGCACGGCTGTCTACGTCCCCTCGGCTGGACGTAATGTGACAGATATCAGACAGCACGGCTACGGAGCGATGCCACGGGTGGAGGAAGCGCTGGCTAGCTACCTCTCTCCCAACCTCGCCTCATCCCTCCAGACGCCGGCGCTCCCCACCAAGCCGTGTCAGATGACGTCCGATTTGGTGGGCAAGGCCTACATGGCAGTGGGTCGAGCTGGTGCTTGCCTGCACACGATGGCTGTCTTGCAGGCATACCAGGCCGATCTCCTTCGGGACTGGGACTTAGGGGGAGGTCCCTCTGAGGAGGACCTAACTGAGCTCCGTAGAGCGACGGACTAAGGACTAAGCTCTCCGTGTGACCAAGGAAACGGCCCGTTCCATCAGCCGATCCATGGCGGCTTTGGTGGCTACAGAGCGCCATCTATGGCTCAATCTCTCAGGCATCCAGGGGAAGGAGAAGGCTTTTCTCCTGGATGCACCCCTCTCACCTATTGGCCTGTTTGGCGAAGCAGTGGATGCTGTCGTCAACAGATTCCAGCACGCCAAAACTCAGGGAGAGGAGTTTGAGCGATATCTCCCCCGCCGGTCAGGCTCCAGGACCACGACGGTTCAGGAAAGGCAGACGCAGCCCTCATCCAGCACCTACTGCCGCAGCCAGAAGCAGAGCGTCGCTTCACGGGATCCCCCTCCACCAACCTGGGACGCAAGACGGCGCTCTCGCCCACTTGTCTCCTGCTCGCATCGAGTCCAGTTTGTCCACAGTGACCAGTGCAGTTAGGCCGCGCCATCACTGTAAAACATTTTCAGAGGGTGTTGGGTCTCCTGGCAGCAGCGTCCAGTATAATACCTTCCGGACAACTGCACATGAGAGCCCTGCAGTGGTGGCTAAAATCCAAGGGATTC